TTTTTTACAGTGGATAGGATCTATCTGATAGTCACAGGAGACCTTAAAGGTTTAGTCTTTGATGGAAATTGTTAAGATACCTGCAGCATGTGTAGTTTTGTAAATCTTATCTCAATGCTTGCTTGCTTCTCAGTGTACCTGTGATCATCCTTTTTTGCTCATATATGCAGATTTTATTTTTACATGAGAAAAAAAAACGCAGCTTTGCAGCTTTTGTTAATTATAGGAAAAAGAGAAACTTAATTGAGTTTTCTAATGTATAATTTGTTTCCGAGAATATAGTGATATAGAATTAGTTGTGGCGGGGTTTTCCTTCATGGTCTTGGAAATATATGGAAGAGTAATGTTGTTATTCTTTGCAGCTTAGTTAACATGAAGATGGAGGACTACGAAATATTCTGTAAGAAGCATCTTTCCAGAATCCAAGAAGAGGCAATAAAGAGAGAAACCTCTTTCACTGTTCAGCACAAAAATATCTCCCTCATTCAATTCCATGGAGTTCCTGTGCTTTCCCCTCTGGTAAGGCTTTTTTTTTTTTTTTTTTTTTTCCTTCACTGGTGTGCTTGCTGTGCTATTGGCACTAGCTTTGATGTCCACATGTAATGATTCTACTGAAGGTACAGCTCTGCTTGAGGTATCATCTGGCCTGTTGCCTGGTGTATTCTAAGCATTCCTAGCCTTAATTTTACAAAGCAAAGTGGTAAAATGTACTTTTTTTTCACATTGACTAAATTTGCTCTCATTTCTTGAAATTCGTTATCTTCACAAGGGGAGTACAGATGTTTATGGTATTAAATAGATGAATGTTATTGCTGGGCTTAACTTTATGTAAAATCATATTGACATCCCAAATATTGAACGCGTGAGTTTGTTTAAAAGTGTCAAAAAAAAAAAAAGTGCAAATAGGAAATACTGATACAGTTGAAAAGCTTTTAAGTAAATTTCTGTTTTGCATGTGTTTGCAGCTTCCTCTAACGTATTTCACAGGCTCATCAATTATGTTAAGTCATTCTATGCTTAATGCAAACAGAGGCAAGCAGAAGACTGTTGGTAGTTTGTGCAATAATGCAGCTGACTTCCTTGTTTCAGTGATGGGAAGTATGGAAGGAGAGCCTCTCTAACAACAGTCTCCAAAAATCGTGATACAGATGTACACTGGAGACTAAATGATATATTGTAATATTTTTCATTTACAAATGGGTGGATATTTTAAGGTTTCATAGAAGAAATGTATAATTTGACTTGAGACGACTAAATTTTGTAGAACTTTGTGAAACCACTTCTTGTAGATGTAGTTTTGTAGATCTAGTTTTGACTTTTATCCAAACTACATATTCTAAAGTAGTAGCTCAGAAGATTTTCAGATTCTGATTGGTGAAAGGATCCAGAAGACTGCTTGCATACATTTCTGTCTTCTTGTGAAATTCACCTCTGGTTCAAGAGAGCAAGTACGAGCTAGCCCTTCATACAACTTAGTAGTTTGAGTACGGGTAGGAAGATAGGTCACAGAGGGCTCTACAGGATGCCCGAACCTCCCATCTCCAGAGAGGACTGGGAAAGACCTGTCCTGCAGTCCGAGTCCTGTGTCATTTGAAGTTGGTAGTGTAGCATGTCACGTGTGTGCAAATTTTTTTATAAATGACCTTTTACATTCATGTTCATTTGCATGCGTGCCAAGAAGGCGTTTTGTGCATCTTCCATTAAAAAAAAAAAGTATAATTGGTTAAAATGAGGCTCGCATTTAAAACGTGCGCAAAGCCTCAACTTAGGTGATTGTTGTTCTTCTGTTGTTTTGTTTTGTTGTTTTAATTTATTTCTGTAATTCTCTATTGAAATTTGCATTTAGTGATATAAACCATGTTTCTTACACTCTGTTTTGCAGCTTAGCCTTGAAAAGAAAAAGGAAATACAGCAATATAAACAGAAAGCACTGGACCTAGAGACCTGGAGACAGAACTCCCGGAAAAGAGCTTTATTGAATCGTGTTCAGGAGATTCTAGAAAATGTTCAGGTAGCGTTAGTCCAAAGCCTTCTCATAGCTTTACAGAAAACCTCTGCTTGTAGACATTTTGAGAAAGTGCTGGGGTTTAAGTATTCATCAGTATAAACATGAAATTAATAGCAGTTAACTCTCCAGAACCAACGTATCTTATGCTATGTGACCTGGTTATTGATTACTTAGTGATAATGTCTATGTTCATTGTAATTCATGGGACTTGCTTTTCACTGCTTGTTTTGGTATATGCAAAAGCCAGACCACACCAGATGACTGACTGTTGCTTTTGTAACTGTGTTTGAAACGACTAGATTGTAAAAACAAATGAACAAAACCCTCGGTGTTAGAGCAACTGGCTTGCTTTATTTGCAAGCTTATAGTTCAATCAGAAAACAACCGATGTTCAACCTTATGATTACAGAATTAAAATCACCTTTGCAACAACTTGTAATTCTGTTGTGTGCTGTATAATCTTACTGCAACTATTTTGTTTTCTTTGCTGCTTCAATGATGAATTTAGTAGAGGTTTAAATTGAAAAGAATATTAAATACATCTAATCAAGTGGTATTATTTGTCTTTGAAACAGTTGTAAGACAGTCTTTAACCTGTTGCTTAAACAAGTACAGTTAACGCGTAATTTGTTGAGTTACGAAGGTGGCAAACAAAACCTGCTAGTTTGCGTTGTTTACTGGAGTGTACATGGCAACAGTCCTCTGGCTTGGGACTTGAAGAGAGACCAGGAACATAAGCTCAATACAACAATAAGTTAGCTTCCCCT